TCATACCATATATTTCCTTACTTGAAGCAAAGCCAGGCCACACCCCTCAACTGAGCTTCCATGAACTAGCACACACAACTGCAGTGGACACATCAACATTCCTGTGAGTACAGGTTTGTTTTCTTTTCTTTATCATTTACAGATATTTAAGCAAAACTTACTTTCTAGCTATGCTATGTGGTTAACCTTTGTGCTGCGTTAGTCGACGACAAAATGCAATAACCAACTGAAGATTAAATGGATGAAGGGTACAACAATGATTGTTGCAATTGTTCTATATAATTTTAAACTGTTTTATTTAAATAGCGTAATTTCTAATAAAATTCCTGCCATTATATAATCTCGAAAATCACGATAATTGCATTCAGTTTCCACAGAATTATGGTGAATGTCCTTCTGATTATGATCAATATTTTATTTTACAGAAACTGAAATATCGAGTAAAAACGCCGAGCAGGCACAATATCGCGACAATCGCCTCCTTCAAGCGTTAGGTTTCTTTCAGGTTTGTTTCCAATTTTAAATTTTCTTACATCCTAAAGCACTTAAAATTCAAACTCACAGAGGAGAAATATCAGGCTTCAGGTGAGTTTTACTCTGACGTGCTGTCACAACTCGACTCTGACCAGGGCACAACAACAACAATTTTTTTTGTACCCAACAGCATACAAAAATATAGAGGAGCGACAGTGCCCCAAATAACCACAGGAGCTAAAGAAAAGTAGCAGCCATACTTAGGTGATTTATCTATAATTATTTCGGTCAGATACCACACACACACACACACACACACACCCCCAAACACAAACATGCATATACTGTCGAAAAAGAGAAGTCCAAAGACTACTGCAAAGCTGATTCAGAACAACGTGTATTGTTTTTTCATAACAATATTTCGGCTGTCGAACCTCCACTGACGGCCACCTCTCCACAACGGCCACTTTTTTGCCCCGGCGGACAGTCCATATGTTGACTCTTGTATAATCCTCTCTACAATGGCAACGACCACTAAAGCGTGTCCCTAACTGCCCAATCCCAATAGGGACCTTAAGATCCGACGACGGCGACGGGAACTCCACAAAAGCAATAGGCTTAATTAGCAAAACAACAATTTCGCACGTGCATCACGCTTTTTTGTACATTTCCTTACCATCAATGCACGACTACGACGCGAAAATGTCTAATTTCACGTTGTACAGAGGAAGTGCGCAAGCGACGACGAAATTTCCTCTCACTTTCTGCACTTGGCTATGGTTCTTAGAAATTCAACTTTAGGATGGTTCGCCTTACACTTGAAAAAGTTAGTGACTTGGAGTAATCGCGATGAAGATTGAAAGAACGCGAATTCACTTTTTCAGCGATGTTTTCTCTGCCATCGCCGTCCTCATCCTTTCAACAACGGCCAGTTTTGTCAGCGACTGATAAACAAGTCGAGAATGGTCATGAAATTTGTTTCGCATGGCGCATTGATGATTAATCGTGGCACTCGTATTTTGTTTGTGTTCCATTTATACTCCTGCAGTAAGCATAACTTGTCTACGACACTTCTAGCGAATGTTGTTAACCTTTCTCAGGGACCTTAAGCAACGACGTTTTTGAGCGACGCACGTCAACCGGAAGTGAGGCCTTCTCCCTTTTTATATGCCTTGACGCTAACAAACTTGTATTGCTGAGTTTCTTTTCTCTTTTAAAGACGATTTACCCGAGAGTTTCAACCAAACCACTGCCCAATGATGCAAAAAGTCCACTTCCGGTTGACGTCCGTCGCTCAAAAACGCTGTTGCTTAAGCAACGACAACGACGACGGCAGTGAAAACGTCGCTAAAAAAATGAATTTGCCTTCCTTCAATCTTAATCGGGTCTATTTGGACCCACTCTATGTCAAATGCAGGCGACTTTTCCTGGAGTTGAATTGTTAAGGATTTTATTCAAGTTTAAAAAGAGGAAGGAAAATTCGACGTCGAACGTCCACGTCCTCCATAAAACGTCATATTAGGTTTCAGGTCGTAGTCGTGCAGAGTCCGCGCAGTGGACGTCAACGAAATGTACTAAAAAGCGTGATGCACAGGAAGAGCTGTTGTTTTGATCTTTAAACCTATTGCTTTTTGAAGTTGTCCTCGTCGTCGTCGTAATTGCTTAAGCTCCCTATTGTCTCGTTTAACATTTTGATTCAAAATATTATTCAAGTTTTTTTTGTATATTATTTCTCCCCATATATTTTCTATGATTGGATTTACATTATGGGAAACCGTAAGCATGAATTTAGCACAATAAACATGTTGAACTCCCTAAAAGTATTGTCATATTACACCCATACCTCCCCATAACGGCCATATCTCCACAACGGCCACTTTCTTCTGGCCGCGGTGGAGAGGTTCGACGGTAGTCAGTACATTAGATTGATAATCTGTGATACCAGCTTCAAAACCATTGTTGCCTCTCTTTTTTTGTGTTGTGGCATGGGTATTGTGGGTGGTGTCGATCGGGAGAGCTACCGCAAAATTTCCCGCGTAAGAGACGCATTGCACGTGCCACGTGACAAGTTTCAAGCGGAACAAGCTCGAGTGTGACCGCGTTTACTTGGGTTTGTAAAACACCACGATAAATGCACAGCAAATATACTGCAGAAAATTGATATTCTCTCTATGAAACCACAACTAACACTCGCGTTGTTTGCAGCTACAAGATGTTTTATTCAAAATTTCCTCGTTCCATTATGAATTCATTTATCTATCAATATTTCTTTCTAACCTTGCCAGGATTTAAATTCAAGTTTTTAACCCTCCCTCTTCCTATTTCAACCATTTGCTATTCCAAACGCCCGATTAAATTCCAAATCATTCTCTAAACCGTATTTTACATAAAAGTCTCTTCTAAAAGAGAGTTTTCGCATCTTTTTAGACGTTTGGCAAAAACACTATTTACAACATTTTAGCTAAACTTGATTGAACCTTCGTAGTTCGATGATGAATTAAATAATTTAAAGTGATACAAAGATTAGAATATTTACAGCTATATATGTAAAAAATGTAAAATTTGCGCGTTTTTGAAGAAAACTACGATACTCTTTTATCAGATGATAAGCAGGATAAGATACGCCGTAGAGTAAATAGTCTAGTCTCATTTGTTAGAATGACATAACACCATTCAGAGAACGTAGATGAATCTGTGTGATTGAGGAATCTTTAAAGATTTTTAACTCACTCGCCTCTCGCGCGCGTATTGCTGGCAGGTTATGCTGCGTGGGGTGTTCAAATGTGCTGAGTACGAATGCGTATTATTTAGACGTGACGCTCGGGGAAGAGTCAGGATTGCATTACATGCACGCCCTGCTCAAACCTGCATGTCATGGTGGTCTTCTAAATAGCTTAACTTAATTTGAATGACGAAAAACGTTTGCTTAGCTGTTCTGCACAAAATATCATGGTACATTTAGAAAAACAAAAAATATTTAGAAGCGAGATAGGAGAGTAATAACAAAATAACAAAAGAAAAAAATCCATGCAAAAAAACACACACACACGAAGGGTATAAACAAAGCTTGAAAAATGATGACGAAATCCATGTCCAATAAGAAATCCATGCAGCAAAATATAAATTAAATAAAAATACCTCTGGTACAACCATTCGCCTCCCTCCCCTCCCCTGTTAAGAAAATACACATTCGCATGTTCCTTACACGCGAAGACCAAAACAACACTTTTTTCACGCAAACTCAGTGTCCTAACGCGACCCCCGACTACTTAACGGCAACCAGGCAAAGTTTAGTTTCGCGACATTTAATGCCGCTCTGTGAATAGCTAATGATGCGAGTTACGAAGTGGAAAAAAAAAAATGCCAAACTCCGAACTCAGGCCGGCTGTCGCTACTTAGTCGCCGTTACTTTTCCGAGAATAAAGCTGTGTTGCTGGGCCATAAAAAATGCGAATGTATGTACAGTTTGTTAGTGTCCCTAATAAGGACAAAAAATGAAAGTTTTCAGTTTAAAAATGGCGTCAACTTTCAACAGAAAGATTGAAATGATCAAGTAAATAGTACCGCTGTTTAAGTGAAAACAAGCTTTATCAGAAAACTGAAAACGTCAACCTAATTAAAAGGCGGGAAAATCAGGATCCGATGGTATTTACTGTCGCTTGCGTTAACTAAAAACGCGATTGTCAGTCCGGTTATCTAATGACTGAACAGCTAAATAGGATTCTTCTTTACAAAAGATTCTGGGGTGATAGGATGAAGTTTAGCGGGTATGATTGAGTAAATCTTCTGAACCGTTTTTCTGCTTCTAGTGCTAATATGTTTTCTTGTCCATTTTATAGTACAGTCACTGTTTTAGTGTAAAACATCTCTAAATTAGCAAAAGCATTTCTTTAAAATCCCTCTTAAATACTAATCACTTCTAAGAGTGATGTGATGTTTTTTATATTATTTCCTTATTAAAAAAGCTAAAATTCCACTACACCTTTCCGTCTTTTGAAAATTTGAACGAGACATAACTAAGACTAACACCCCCCAGGGTGGGTGTGGGGGTGGGGGGGGGGGGTCAGTACTTCCTTATGGGTTAGATATGTATGTGCCGCCCGATAGCGTATGGTTTTGAGTGCCTCGATCCGTTAATAAGGTATCACTTTTGCCCTTGTTGGCGTTGTGTCCTTAGCTACGGTACCTATATTGTATCAACTAATTGAAACTGACTGCGAGATGAGACAAACCATCTGTTAAAACTGAACTATTCGTTGGGGTTTTAAGAAAGCGATTTAATGAAGGCAAATGTGTTGCCATTCAATTCTTAGTTTTTGTTTTTTCCCTTAAATAGGGCGTCATTTTCCATATTTGGGCCTAAAATTGGGTATGAATTTTCGTTTGTCTCATCCTTAAATCGGGTCAGGGTTTAAGACCCTGGGCGGCACACACCTATCCGTTATTAATAAAGTTCCCCCTAACCCCCCCCCCCCCCCCTTCCCTTCCCCGCCACAGGGACTTATGAGGTAGACATGAAAACCATTTCAAGCGTCGGCCTGACCAAAGTTCAGTGACTCGTACGTGTCGTCTTCTCGTATCTCGAGCAGTTCCGACGGTCTTTCGTTAGTAGTTCGTGTAGGAATCGGAGGCAGAGGAGAAGCTCCCCTTAGTAGGGCAGGGATAGTTGAGTAGGTTGGATTTCCAGTGGAGTGTGCTTCTTCTCTTCTGTTATTATCGCCGTAAATTGGATTTTCAAAAGACGAGGGAATCTCACTATTGTTCAACGACTCAGTCTCATCGTTCGTTTTTACTTTTTCGTCGCTTCTTTGACGTTTAAACTTCTTCATTTTAGTCGCATTGGCAGCACGGACTTTGGCTTTCGCTCCTTTCATGTACGTGTCTAGATCGTTTTCGGACGACCAAGTTTCATCCTTTTGAAATTTTTTCTCGTCAGAGCCAAGAGATACAAGCATTGGAGTGGAGCGAGCGTAACACGCCCCAAGCGGACCATTGACGTCCTCATCAATGGGTTTTAAGTAAATGTCTTCCTTTTTCTCGGCTTTTGGTGATCTGACATCAGGCAAACTTACCGACTTTACACTTTGAAGTGGACTGGCATAGCCTTCATTTTGTTCGCCAACTCGAACATACATGGGATTCTCCATTACCTGAGAAAACAGAGTGTTTCATTCAGTAAAAACAACACAAAAAACTAGAGTCTTGGCAGGGCCCTATATTCTCAATTAAACGTCCGTTATTTTGTTTTGTTTTTTACTATATTGTTGTTGTTGTTATTGTTGTAAATGCTTTCTGTTAAACACTGGTGGACCCGACGTTTGTTTGAATCCGCAGTTTATTTGAACGGGCTATTTTATACAGACAGCATTCTTATTTCTTTAGGTCGACAGTCGTGTATCTTACCCTTATAACGAAAGCTTATTATACCACAAATGAATACCTGCAAGGCTATTTACACTTGGATTAGAATTGCGTTCTCTTAACCGTCGACTGCAACTTAAAAACATTGCATAACTCCACAAATGATTCATCTTAGTTACCTTAATATCATTTCTTTTGATGACTGAAGTTGGATCCAAGTTGTGTTGCAAATGAATGTCCGATTCCTTTCTCAATCGCTCGGCCCAGTCTCTATTGGACGGTGGCGTTACCGCAACCTTTCTATTATCACCGTATATTTCATTGGAGAAATCGATTCCCTCCGTGTTGGCCTGGTAACCAACTGTCCCATGATCCTGCTGTGGGTAGAAAAAATAAAACTTTGATGTTAAAATATTGTCCCTGAAAGAGATTGTGGGTCTTGTTTCCCTGGGTTCTTCCTTTGGGGAAAATGAACAAATTATAAATTGGTTTTTACACCATATCATGACTTCAAAGTAGTTTCTTGCTTGGCACGACTGGTAGGTAGATTTCCCGCGATTTTAAGGTACACGACCTGATCACGTGCGAGTGAGTTTAGGTTTGTTCCATAGCACGTGACATGTTCTCTTCCCAAGGATTTAGGAAGTTTACTGCCTAAGGAGGGAGAGGCCAGTGGGAGTCCTTTTCAAATATGAGCGGGGGGGGGGGGATACTTTTGAAAGGAGAACTGTGACGTCACGTTACTGTGGGAGCAAAATTTCTCGATCTCATCAACCTTTCTGACAGAGACGGCCATTTGCATTTTCAAATGATGGAAGAAAAGTATGGGCTACAGTTTTGTCGTGTGTAATCATGCACAGGAACAAAGGGATACATAACAATTTATCCGGTTTTTTTTCTGTCATATTAGCAGCACCATGGTTTGTTGAGATCCAGAAAGTTTGCTACCATGACAACGTGACGTAACGGCTTCTCCTCTCTATTGAGAAATATGATTTTGTAACCGAGCTGTGTGACTTACATCCTTATGATGAAGGCAGACAACTCCGACGATTTTTCCAAGACTACGAGTATTAATCAGAGGTGACAATGAACGTCGGGCGTTGATTGTAAGAAGCAACATACGAAATCTTACAACAGGAAAAAAAAAAACGGCTTTCCCAGTAGTCCAAGATGCTCTTTCACTAAAATACTGAAGGTTAAATACAATACTGATAGCCAGGGCCTCCGTTGCTCGCAAGATGGATAACACTATCCACCGAATAAATCTCTTTATCATACGGCCTCGCGCGGAATTACGTTGGAAAACCATATAAAAAAATCCCTTATGAGGGCCGTACGACCATGCTAGAAAAGCGTACTGATCGATGCAGGTTCGCTCCGTCAGAAAAATTCAAGAATGTCAAAAGTGTATTGAGAATTTGGGGCCAAAACGATGTTATTTTCCTATAATAAGGTAAACCAGGGAGATAACGCTATCCAGCTTTTAAACAACTAGAGGGAATTGAATTTCACTTGCAACTACTCTAATCACCTTGGCTCCTTTGTATTTTTTCCTGTAGTAAAAGACGGCGGAAAAAAGAACCGCAATCACAAAGATAACCACAAATATGGCAATGCCCGCTACTCCACCAGTATTCAGGCCTTTTGACACTTGCTCGGTTGGTCTTCCATCGTTCTTAATTAGTTCTGCTTGACCACAGGGCAACCCAACCAGTTTCAGAATGTCACAGTTTTCCACGCAACTTCTCGCGGTGTTTTCAAGTAAAGCGCATGCTCGAGAAGCGAGAAAAGGGTGGTAGTTATTGCTGGCATTCAGCGCTGTGAAGATCACCACAGTCTGCCCAAGAGACACAGTCTGGTTGTACCGAAGAATTTCAACGTAGAAGAAATTTGAAAGGGCTCGTCTTTTTCTTACAGCAGCTGCAACGAAAACAAACAAGAATTTATTTACTGGAAAATCAAACACTCGTTCATTTAAGAGGAAAACCAGTAAATTTTGTTTCCTTAGGATATAATATCAATAATCGCCGAGAAAAACACTGACATTTGAGGGAAACAAGGTTGACTAGTTTCCGAAGAAGAGTCGTTTAGGAATTTACTATAATATCAAGACGAAGACATAAGTACATGTAATGTAATACATAAGCAGTCAACAATGGCGAACAGTACACTTTATAATCTGTGGTCATAGATTTTGCAACGTCGTCCGCTCAGAAGCGAGAAAAACGTTAAGGGTATAACGTAAATGATCGATTAAGCGACGCTACTCGATTAATCGCCGCTCTCGAATAAGCGATGCACCTTGAACGAAAATAGTTTAATAAGCGCCAGGACGCTAATTTGGGTATTTACAAATAAACGCCCCACCTTTGTTACGGTGCTTGATATGAAGAGAGATCAAAACCAAATGGATCGAGAAATAAGACCTCGACCAACTCATGAGTTCTTAAGTTTTAATGTTGGGAAACTCGTTAAACCGGGGCATAGAAACTTGTGTAATTTCTCTTGTATTTAAGCAGCGATACTTTCACACAGACACATCACCTCCAAGTCTCTTTAAAAAACAAATCAACTATGAAACAACGTACACCGTCAACTGCCGTTTATAATCGATGTGCTTCGCCGGGAAAAGGGTTTCATGAGGGCTTATAAACGGAGGGGCTTAAATCTGAACTGGCTCATAAACGGAATAGAAAAAACGCTTCGAAACAAGCTATAGCAGTACTGCTTTGCAGTTACTGGTTTTTAATAAGCTTCAAAACGGCGTAACAAATTGAATTCAGTTCAATACAAGGTAGAGGGGGTGGTGGGGGGTTATATCCGGGCACAGTTATAATCGGATGTATTTTTTGGGTTACAGGTAAATTGGACTCTAGCTGGGATTGAGTGCTTATAAGCGACAGTTTACGGTAAAAAGTAAAGTACAACGTTACTAGTGCATCAGATTCACCCAGCCTCGCCGTATAACTTAAAAATCACCCGCTTACGTTACCTGCTTCAGCGTCATTTGTTTTTGAATCCAATAGTTTTCCTAGGTCTTCTTCCAGCTCAACCTTTCTCTTTTCAGAGATCTCTGTCTCGCTCAAAAGAATTGGAATCTGATACTGTGTCCCTAAACACCTGCAAATCAAACCAAGATGTAAATCATTTAATGAATGCCGAATATAGTCAACAGGAGCTTGAACCGGCAACGGCGACGGCAACGGGAACGAAAAGCACTAGGTTTAATCAGCAAAGCAACAACGTTGCACGTGCATCACGCTTTTTTGTACATTTCTTTGCCGTCACTGCACGACTACGACGCAAAAGTGCCTAGCTAATTTCCCGTTTTGTGCAGGACATGAGCACAAGAAAACGTCTTTCTTTTTCTTTTCCTGAACCTCGATACAGTCTTAAGAAATCAACTCCAGAAAACATTTGCCAAAATTTGATGGATTGAACGAGATGGAATAAGCGCGAATAAAGTTTGAAGCAACGCGATACCACTTTTTAAGAGACGTTTTCGAAAGCGTCGCCGTCCCTATCGAGTTCGCCTTAATCGTCTGATGCGGGTCCTAATATTCTAAGATCACGTAGAAACAAGGCTTCATCAAACAAAGCAAATAATGGGAATTTCTTTTCCCGTGTTGGGCGCAGATGTCCTACCTGACGGCTGCTTCAGTGAATGTCACGCACATAGTGTCTTTGGTACATTCGGCACAAAGTGACGGGCTCCGCTCACACAATTCTCCAGAGAATCCGGCAGCACATTTACACTTAAACGAAGCGATTCCATCCTCACATGATCCTCCATTCTGTTTATATTTTTAGAAAAAAAGAACACCAGTTATCGGAAGGCAAATTTATTAGGCATTGTTTGCTCAATGACGAGCATGATCAAGGGTATTTTTCTTCACTGATATTAGAGAGATTTAGATACTAAGATGAGTAAGACTACGAGTACGAGATGTTCTCAATGCTGAGTATTGCTCCAACGTCATTTTGGCGGGAAAATGTGATAGCCGTCGTCATTCTACTACGAGTTTTGGCAAGAATGTCCGGCGTAGTGGCGGAAACAAGTTATCAAATGTAAGAAGTTTTATCATTTTGCTATCGGGAGAGGGCTTAACATCCTTCAGTAGAAATAACCGTACTAACTTTTTTGGTGAAAAAGGGTAAAGAGAAGCTTTCCTGGGTGTCTTTTATTTTTTGAGAACACGCACAATTCTCGTACTCGTATTCGTTCTCAACTTTAAAGCCCTCTATTAACTGGTGTGTGGACAGCATTTATGTACTCACAACGCGTGTGAATACATGTTCTACATCAAAATGGAATTAACAAGAGTTGGTTTTTAAGTAGAAGGGAAAACCAGAGTACCCGTCATACTCCTCCGATATGTGGCCAATTTATGCCTCCATATGCGCAGACTTTTCTAAAGAATTAACTGGAAAAAAACATGTGACTTACCAAACACTTCACTCCTTGACATTCATCTATGTTCGTCTGACAATGACGACCAGTAAATCCCGGCATGCATTGGCAGCTGTAGCCATCAATCACATCTTGACAGCTGCCACCATTCTGACAGACTGGACACGCGGTGATTTCTGAACAGACATTGTTATGACAATCTACAAAGGGCGGAAACGGAAAGATTACAGTCAACCAGCTCTTAACTAAGCTAGAAGCACAACTCCCAGAAATGGACAGCAGTACTTTCAAACGGAGCTATTTGATTATTGTGAGGTGTATTTCTATCTTTTGAGTCTGTGGATGAATCCTATGGTGTGACCATTCAAATGAAACCTCCTCAGCAGTACTTTCACTTGGTATTATTTATTTAGTATGTAGTTCCAATTGTGGAGTCTTGACTGTACTGAGATGAAATCCTATAGTGTTATCACTCAAATAAAACCTCTTCAACAGTACTTTCCCATGGTACTATTCGTCTTTTATCTAAAATGTTGACATAAGACCCTTTAGGGAGATGATGATTTTGGCCGCGCTTACCTGCAACAGTAACCCGAACAGAACTGCCAATAAAATGCAGTGGATGCCTGGTATCTTGACAGCTCACTTGAATATCCACACTGCCATTAGAATTGGCGAAGTCACTGTAATTAAGTTTGACTCTCGTGCGAAGACGGAACCCCTCATCCAGCAGAAACAAAGCGGTAACATTCTTATAGAGATCGGGAAGAATCGCATTCTCTTCAGGGTTATCAATATTGCATTCGTAATGAAAATGCCTCCCATTATCAGGACAACAATGCTGCTTACTACAGGTCAATATTGGTGACGATGAGTCATCAATGATCACCTGGCCTATGACAGTGCCCGCAGGCTGGTTTTCATTGACGATGTGAGGAGACAAACAGATGTTGACAGGACGAGGTCGGTCATCTAAAAGCAAAATAAACAACTTTTATCTACTGGTAATCAAAAATAAGATCAATATACAGATTCATATGGTTTTAAGGCAACGCAAAAATAAAGCAAAAGCTTGCGCGGACTGAAAACGAGGTAAATATGTAAGCCAGACAAAAAAGCCACACAATTCTTGATTTTTATCCGCACGTTTACACAGGACGTTCAAAAGGGAAACAAAATTAGGAAGCATAATTTAGTGGATATTCCGAAACGATTCTCTCTATAAATTATGCAAGCACCATGAAATGAAACTCTTAAAGCGTTTTGGAAGTTTAAAGATAAATAAGCGGTTGATACACCACTATCTCGTGATTATCTCAAATTAAAGACTTAGTAAAGGTTGATCGATAATATCACAAACTTACTACAGTCTAACCTTCCGTAAGCGACCAACCAAAATGCGAAGATTCAGTGGTCGCTTACGAGAAAAGAACCACTAGGGGTTAGACCGCGAGCAGTATCTCTTTCTCTTCAGATTTACTAAGGGGAGTGCACGCGCGCGTCGTGCCTCTCCCGTCTCGCGCCTTCAGTCACGCGCGTGGTCATTTGCGTGTCTCGGGCGTTTTGCTCGACGGACCAAGAAAAAAGAGAGACTGCTCGTAGTCTAATTGGGGTCTCTTCCGAAAAGAGGTTCCCACACATCTACTTTTTGGCCGAGCATTAATAGAATGCAATTTTTTAAGTTACAGTGGAAGTTCTCCTAAATGACACTTTCGTAAACGGACAGCTCTACTTACTGATATCTCTTCACAAAACCCTTGTTTTTGTCAACTCCCTCGGGACTCGAAAAAGGTGTCCGTAACTGGCGCTGGCCGCATACGGAAATGTACAAATACAGAGTTTGTATGGGAGTTGAGACAATGAACGGGGTTTTGTGAAGGCAACCGTAAGTAGAGCTGTTCGTTTACGATCGTGTCTGTTAGGATTGACTATGTCCAGTTCCATGTTGTTGATCAAGTTCTTCGTGGCATGCTACCCCGGGGGGGGAGGGGGGGGTACTGGCAGAAAAATTGGGTAGGGGTGTGCGGCCCGCTTCCCAAAACCCTTACCCTATTTATGACCAAAATCTGCGATTTTCCCTACCCTATTTATGACCAAACCACAAATTTGATACCCTATTTATGACCTGACCCTTAAATCAATACCCTGTTTCAGACCTGCCTTATAATTATTTCCCTAGTTCAGACCAATGTTAAAGGCAATGTTTATCTGCTTTATTAGGCTAGGGGGACATGATAAGGAAGTAGCTTCTTCCAAAAAAGTGCATTCAAGACTACAGTGTAAAAATCGTTACCCTATTTATGACCAAAATGGCGGCAAAATAGGCAAAATCGATACCCAATTTATGACCAAAACGGCTGAAAAATCCTACCCTTTGGGGCCGCACATACCTATATAGCCCATATTAGGGAGTACCCCCCCCGGGCATGCTACACACAGAAAATATAGAGATAAGACCATGCGTCAAGTCTTCGCTTACAAGAAGTTGAAAACAATGCAAATTTATTACACCGTCAGCCCCGAAATGCGGTCGCAGTCGCTCACAGGAGGTGGTCGTTTCACGAGAGATGTTCTGATAGTAAGGCTTTGACTTGAAAGGTGCGAGGTGGTGGATTACTAGACTTTCTCAAATTCGCCTCGTCCCTACTCCCTTTTTTTGGAACACGGCTCTACCGCCAAAACTTTAATCTCGCACCCACACAATACCGCCAGCTACGCAGGCTAGCCCTCTCATATGAACACATCGAAAATTTTACAAAGGATTTAGAGGTAAGGCGAGATCTCAGAAACCGGGCTCATGTGAAGAGGCCCTAACTCACGATAATACCTTTAAAAAGGAAACAAACATGCTTATATTCTTACCAACAATTCTTATAAAGAAAGTCTCTCTGAGGGGATTAGACATGTTGCCTCTACTGATTATAGAAACAGCGATCAATGGCTCCCCAGAGCTGGAAACTTGAAACTCCAAACCATCCTTCCTAGCAACAAGAAGCTTGTTGCCTTGGATACGAAAAGGAAGGGATCTTTCCTCTAGCAGCTGATAGGTGAATGTTTCTCCAGCATTCTTGGTAACTGTTGTTAAACTGCCGACCACTGCGCCACTGTCAGCCGTGACGGACACGTTGCTTGAGTCAAGTAGGATACCCAATGGCTGGTACTCTGCTGTATAGTTTTCAAGAGATAAAGAAAGTCAACGCCTTTTTAATAACTGTGAATGTATTTAACCCGAAAGTACTAACTCGGCACACTGACAACTAAACAACCTTTATTATTACATCCAAATAGAGAATTTTACATTTTCCAATAGGAAAGAAAAGAAGAAATTGTTACACAAAAAAATTATGTATTATGTTAACAAGGATATCTAGAAGCTACATTAAAAAACGTATTCGTGCTAGCGCCTAGCTATAAAAAGATATTTTTAATACAGTAGTGACATGTAAAATAGTAGCAAAGAAAGAAAAAAAGTAAATAAATAACACACACACACACACTATAATCCTAAAAAAGAAGAACGAATATGGTCAACTTTCAAATTGTCTAATCAATAGATGTTATTTTAGTAAGCGTTGGAAGAAGAGATTTGGGAGGTCTTTCAAATGATGGAGAAGATTTTTCCAGAGGTCAACAGCTATGGATTGGATTGACTGTTTTCCAATAATTGTTCTTGTGCTTTGTCATTGTTCTACCTCATTTCTACATGGTCATCTGAGCCACGTGAATAACTCGCCATTTACTGTCGGTCGAGTTTATTTACTTTTTGGTTTAGGGAGTCACGCCCTCAAGCGTTGCGTGACTCCGGCCCGAGCGGTCGCGAAGGAAACTCAGGGCTGCAAATAACGGACAGCAGGTTGCCGGTCATGATGACCGGCCAATTATTTTTTAGCCCGGACAAACCCCGATTCTGGCCGGTCAAATAATGAATACTAATAATTTTTTTTGCCTAAGGAATATCCAATTATGCTGGCAATAGATCGTTATTACTACATTCACGTTCACATTTTTGACAGCAAATTGGTGAAAAATGCATTCGCACGTTGTAGAGTTCCTTTCCGCGGTTTTCGCGCGTTTTAATGTTACGTTCTACCTTGAGTATCATTGCACGGCGGTGTCCAGGGGTAAAAAGTGAAGCGTAAATCCTTTCCAAACTCCCAAGGTTCAGGAAACGGAATACACATACAGTTCAGCAAACTTTAGAAATTACGAAAAAAACCCAAAAAAATTGGGTTATTTTACAAAATCTGCACACGCTTGTTTCACGTTGATGTTCCGAAATAAACATCGGTGAAACTTGATCTTTTTCCTTGCCTGGCACGTGATCGAAAGTCACTTCCTCAAAGAAGAATCGTCGCTGATATTTTCGGCAAAGAAGTTGATTTGCATTGGCGAGAAGTTTGTTCCACAAACAGCGTGTTGATGATCAGAAGTCAATAAATAAATTTGGGTCATCTCGCAACATTTTATCGCGAAGGGCTCAAATGTCAACAGAAATTTGCATAAAGTTGTTTACAAGAACGAGAATCTAGCGCCGCGATAGACGACGACCTTCCCTCTTGAGTAGCTTAAATTTTTATCAGACCATTCTGGAATCGAGTCTGCAAACGAGATTCATGTTCGACATAAAAGAAATTATTATTAATCGATGCGCTAACATTTATTCCCGGAGAAACACAGGACGACCTGTATGCCTGAATTCCTTCGAATTCCCAAAGAAGGTCACATTGCTGATTACAGCAAAGCCGAAAGTACAGTACGACTTGCAACGTTGCATTACTTTCCAGCTCAGTTTGTTATTCACTTTGTTGCGTTTATTTAATATTACGACATGACGACATGAAATTAATTTATTGCGGCGTTCTTTTTCTTAGAAGGATTTAGTGCAAAGCAGCAAAAAACGCCAAAGAAAAAAGAAATCATTGCAGCGTTATAGAGCATTAAGCGACAACTGTATGGAAAATAAAGTGTTTGTATCCAAAAATGACCGGTCAAAATGACCGGCAAGACCGGAGTTTGACCGGTCAAGTCCGCGATGAGGCCGGACATTGTCCGTTGACCGGCCGTTATTTGCAGCCCTGAAACTAGGGAACAGACTGCTATGAGAAGAATTCCAGTCCTTATGTTACAGTATGTACAGCACCTTGGTTATCCATACCTGATACAACAATAGTGCAATTAAAAACAGCAGACAGGGGGGTGCTAAGGATATACTGATAACCACGCCCAACAATCACCCCATCATCCTTGACTTGTACACTAATTGTGATGTTCTGGGGCTGGGTTATAACCTGAAAAATGAACACATTTCAAAGAAAAAATAAATTACATGTACCACCGACTGACATGATACCGTATTTACTCGATTAATGCCGTAGATGGAAGCAACCATAATTACCAATAAATGCCTCTCATCTCCTCTCGGTGCTAGGACCGCTAGGGACGCTTCTGGCAAAACGCCACGAGCGGCGAGGAGCGAGAAGAGGCGGCTATTTTCGCAGGCCAATTAACAATCTCTAAGTGAGACAGACAAAATCGAACAAAGAGAACAAAGGTTCTCATGGAAGAAAACAGCACAAGGCCAGAAAGAGATATTAAAGAAATTAATGAATACAAAACAAAAATTGGAAAAATTACCCCGCTCTTAAAAAGACTGTCATCTCTGATTCCAAAAGGCCAGGAATTCTGCACCGGACTCATGGAGTAAAACAACTGCTGTTTATTCCTAAATATCACAGTTTGATTAGCCTGGTGATCAGTTATCACATTTTCATTATCGGGATCTTTGCCATTTAACTCTGCAATCACAGCACCGACGGACGTCTTGAGACCCACCATGATGGGGACATTACACAAACCGGATGGGATCTCATTGACATCTGAAAAAAAGGGTAAGAGAAACATGGTTGTATCATAGTAGAGGAGACTGGTTAGGAAACCCGGCAAAAATCAAAGGTGAAAACAATGGTACTGTAGGTTATGTTGGAAGCTCCCGGACCGTGCACAACCCTTTGTTTTCTATTCACAAATCATAACTGAATAAATTAATGCAATGTTTCTATCGGTCAATAACTTCAAAATGATAGGAATGCTATAGCCTGCGAAAACATCCGTTTCTCCTCGCTCTTCGCCGATGGGGACGTTTCGCGCGGAAGAACGTCACGTTCCTCCTCGCCAAACGTCCCCGGCGGCGAAGAGCGAGGAGAAACGGATGTTTTTGCAGGCTAGGTATGCTACTGAACGTTGTGCACGGTCAGGTCTAAAAAAGCTAACAAAAACCTATAACTAAGGGTTTCCCAACCATTCTACTTTAATTAACTACGGCTGTACCCATAAAATAATCAGCTGGTCACTTAGTGACCCATTAGTGGGGTTAAGTTAAAAATATTTACTGTAAGGCATGGAGAGTATTGCTCATTAAAGCAGGAGAGGAAGAGTACTTCCTCCAACACCATGCATTAGTAAGGAGAACAGTAAAAAAAAACGAAAATTATGCATGTAAGGTGTCTGGTACAGGAAATTAAAAAGGAAGCAATAAAAAACGTGTCTGATAGCGAAGGGCGAGTGGATTTTGCTATTAGGCTGATGAATTCTGACCTGCCCTACGGGAAAGTGAAGTTATTTTTCGAGAATTCAAAAATTTCAGAAGAACTGTAATAAACACTAATCAGTTTTTTTTTTGGCGCCAGTTGAAATGACATTTAGGATTGTATTATGATAGCTACAGTTGCCAGACTGGCAAGCTGTAAAACTGAATATTTTCTTTGCACGCTGATAAATAAGTTCTATGCTGGGAAACCTGAACAGCACAAAGTTTTCAAAAAAGTATGTTTAGTTATGAAAATGTACAAAAAGTTAAACTCGCCTGTCTAGTGTAGGCTAAACTTTTAGGGGTACCAGCAGTGAGTGTGTTTTCATTTGAGACATTTGTTAATACCCTTTTAGTCATTAACCAAATCTTGGGCTAGTTCTTCAGAAAATTAATATCCTGGGTCAGTAAACTTGATTTTCCTAACTTTGCCACCCAACCCCCCCATCTGTAGTGAGCAATGTACTGTGTTCTCCTCTTACTTACCATTGACTGTGACAGAAAACAAGTCTGACTTTGACAAAAGTCTATCACTACAGTTGACAACAATATCAATGCTGCGTTGTACTTCAAAGTTCAAGCCCTTAAGTGTTCTGAGCTTTAATGCATTATCCACAGTAAAGAACTCGCTAGCAACAAGTCTTTCAGTACTCGTCACAGAATCAACAATCAGTTCATGCACAGTGCAATAATGACTTTGCCCTTTATCTGGATCTGAAACTGTAACTTGTCCAACCACTGTATCTGCAGCATTCTCATCAACAGATGCTGCACTCAACTTGACTTCTGTTGGTGGCTCATTAACATCTGAAAAATAAAAAACATGTCATTAAAGCAGGGAGCAAACAAAGTCAATTTTACAGCTTTTATTGCAATTTGGGCCAGGCGTAGCTAGAACACACAAGCCCAAGAGTCTTTTTAACTACCCCGCCCCCCTCCCAATTTTTTTATGAGCAGGATTGATCAAAGCTCTTCTGTGATTAGAATCCTCCCCTACCCGTCCAAAACTTACCCTCAGTGTCGATGACATTTGTGGGTTGAATTTGTTGTTGGTTTTCTCCCTTGCTCTGAGCAGTTTTTCTCCTGGTACTCCGGTTTTCCCAACTCCACAAAAAGCAACATTTCCAAATTCCAATTTGATCAGGAAAGGTGGACGAAGAACCACTCTGTGGATGTGCTGCCTCTAAACCTTTATTTAGTTATTTATTATTTATTTAATTTCCAATTCACTTACTTGTAACAGCAATGACAAATGACTTCCAGATAAACCTGCCATGCTGATCAGAGCAGTTTAATGTTATTGTGAACTGTTGAGGTGGTGTAAGTGATTCATAGTCTGTCACAGTTGATCCTACAACCAGATTAGTACCGATAACTTTGACACGCCCTCCTGCACTGTTCAAAAGCATGCAGGATGGTAAGTCTCCATCTTGATCAGTAAGGATAATGGGGCTGATAAGAACTCGCTCTGCACTGTTTTCCTCTAAGACTGGTGTAGAAAGTGTTAGGTTGCTGGGAGGGTCATTCACATCTAAATGAAACATAAATTTATGAAAAACTTAATTGTAGAAACAGGACAAATCTTGCTCGTTACACATGTAGGATGAATCTGAAATCTACAACTACCAAATTCAGACATGTAAATTCACAACCTTGGCATTATTACTCTCCAGTGTATGGCATGTTTTGTTTCTTCTTTTTCAGCTACAAAAAATTACACTTAAAACCACAGTTAAGCATCTGTGCAATACATTACTTACCATTTACTGTGATTTTGAAAGTTTTTTGTGTAGAAAGCCCTCCTGTATCTGTAACTCTGACGATGACTAAAACAGTTGGATCTGTTTCATGATCCAAATTACCATTCACTAAAAGTGTTCTATTGTTCATTCCACCGATGCTGAATGGCGCACTGATAGGACCAACAATGCTATAGGTGTGTAGATCATCTGGGCCGTCTGGATCATCTGATGAAAGCAATCCCACAGGGGTACCCAGGGGAGAGTTCTCATCTACAGTCATACTCGATAATGTCAGGTTGACAGGGGGCTCATTGACATCTAAAGGAAGTAATTTGAGTGTCAAAGTATATAACACTGACGTACTAATATTATTGGGGACACTATTTCTTATGTCTCCAACTACATATGGAACCGCCATTTTACGTTGTCATCTGAGCAATACAAAGGTCTACAATACTCATCAAATTTCATTGATACACTAGGCTAAAACTTAGGATTTTTCATGCCACACCTTCTCAACCAACTTATCTAACTTTTCCCTGTATGTACTTCTTCTCTCCTTCCCCAATGGTGAGATTCATGTACATTTGCAAATGGGTGATAGGTGAACCAACATTGGGGGAAATGTAACATGACAAGTGTTTCAACAAATTTGACGAGATAGTGGCTGTTTGTTCGGTAGAGACAAAACCTTCATTTCTCAGTTATTTTAAGACCCTGAGTATTGGCCAGGTCCCCGGAAACGAACCTGTGACCTCCCACTCTGCAGTCAAGTGCTCTACCAACTGAGCAAATCCTGCAATTCTCAAGGAAAACATCAATCTTGTTCCAGAGAGTTCAATTTCCTCCCTGGAAATTTTGTTTTAATATCTCATTTTATAGTAAGAAACAATCACATCAAATGAACTGAACACTGAGGATTCTAAAACTAGTTTTCAGTGCTGATAGGTAAACTTCAAATTCATTATTATATTCTAGGTACAGTTGTATCTAGAAATGGACTAGTGTAAACAGCAGTGAGAAATTGTGAAGGGGCGGGTGGGTAGGATTATTTAATTGAGGTTACCAGATACCTTCAGATGAAAAATTTCATTGAAATTTCAATTTTTGGCTCATGGTAAAGGTTTTAGTGGGATCTTTACAAAAAAGAAAGAAAAAATGGAAAAGAGTAAACATCGCCCTCAGTGGATAACACCCTCTTCGATCTGCTTAATTCTTCATATCCTACTCAGCCTCATTCATTAATTGCTAATTAATTGTCTCAGTTACTTGCCAATGTAGCAAAAGAAAAACTTAAGCTAAAATAGACCTAAGACAAAAGAAAACTACCGGTTACCCAATCAGTTGCATCGCTTTAAAAATTATATCATCCTTTATATCTCTACAGTATGTTAATAGTCAGCTCAGTGGAAGCCACCGAACTATCTTTAATTTTCTTTTCCCTCAACTGGCTGGTTTGGTTTTTGACCAAGCGGTGGCTGGATTTGTGGTCTTACATTTCCACAGCCTTGAAAAAAAAGTCGATTTCACTATTGATTGCAATGTAAACGTGGCACGAAAGTCCAAAAGAGAAGTTGTTTGAAAATAAAACGTGCACGAAAATTAAACGGATAATTATTATCTTATCCAAGTGCTGATTGGCCCAAATTCCAGAGAAGTATTTGTGGGCGGAATTTGTTTGTTTCGAAGTGAGGAACTTTTTTATATTGCCTTTTTCTCGACTTACAAGTACCGGTATATTTTCACCTCAGAGGGGACCCTTTAAAAAGCTATAACTCCAAGAGAATTTGTTCGATTGACCTAGAATTTTTAAGGATTGTTACATTAATGTGAAAGCAACAAAAACGTGTCGAGGAATTTTTTTGTTTCTTAAAACTTTTTTCACAGGCATTTTCGTACGATCACCCACCTTATTTTAGTGCCATTTCCAATTTGTTCTGTAACACCATCAAAAATGGGAAAACCCCGATACGTTTTTTTAAGGGCTTTGACTTCAAAAAGACTTGGACAAATCAACTTAATGAAAAAGAAACATTGCCATGAGTTTTAGCTTTTAAAAGCTGATTCAGAAGTTCGCATTAGAAAATCCTAAAAAAATCGACAGTGCGTTTTTTTCAAAAAACTGTGGGTTTAACAAGAAAGCCTGAGTTTAATAACCTTTAATTTGATGTGGGTTTTAGGTATCCGCAGTTTAACCGGAATGTGCAACATTTCTTGCGCGTGAGACACCCCTAAAGTTATCTGGTAACCTTAGGAAGGTGATTAAACCATACTTTATATTTTTCTACCAAAGGGAGATTATTATTCAAGGTGGGGTCGGGCATTCATTGAGGAATGTCTTTCATTCAAGGAAACACCATAATACTTATTAGAGAGATTTAGAATCACGTTTATGGCAAACCACAAAAGTCATATAAATTTATTGTAACAAGTGACCAAGTTTTCTGTTTACTTGTCTATATTGCCATTCAGTATCAACTACATGTACACATGTACAGGAGTAAGTTGTTTTGCATTATGTTCATTTGTCAGTTTTACCAGTTTTTTGTACAGTTTTTATCTGCTCTTTTCCTAGATTAAAAAAATTCTCAACTTGCATCTCAAGTTTGCCATTTGCCACAAACATGACTCTACATCTCCCTTTTATTATTGCTTATAAGCAGATATTAAATTCATGTACATTTAAATATTCATATGACTTACCCTTCACTAAAATGAAAAAGTCACTTGACAATGAAAGAGGAGGATGTCCACTGTCCGTACAGGTCACTGAGAAAGTCAGATTTTTAATCCTCTCATAATCAATTTGTTGAGCTCCTTGTACCTTTAACACCAGTTGAGTAGTGATGATGAAATAGTGTTGGCCGCTAGCCTGACTGGCATCAAACACACATGTATGTGTTTGATGTGAAGGTGATTTTGCATTATCTGGATCAGTCACCTACATAGGTTAGGGAAATTGTGCGATGTTAGGAGAGACAATACAGCATTATTTAGAACCTGTAACCAGTTATGCCTGTTAGCACAGCGATGCTACTAGGGTAAGTGTTATGGCTGTAAAAGAGCTTTTAACAGATGATAGACTGTCATCATAATTATGCCAGGTTGCATGAAGTTTTAACTTTAGTTGCTTTTGCAGTATACCTTTCTATGGTCTTGTTAAGTATAGCCTATCAAAAAAAAAAAAAAACTAAACAATCACTACGTTTCCAAACTCAAAACACGGCTGCCATATTGAATTCACAACATTTGAGCCCGGGCCTCTCGTGGATGTCATAATTCCAAACATGCCCGCAAAAGCCACAAAGAAAAAAAGCAGACCAATTGTGACAAATTATTAAGGAATATAAACAATTTAAGCCACTGCCTGCCATCTTAATGCTGTGAACCTGCATAAAAAGTTGTTTTGGTTTTAGCAATTTCAATTATGCATCATTTTCTTGTACAATTACGTTTTGAACATGCAAAAAGATACAGTATCTGAACAAAGCCTAAGGGATTGCTCATTCATTATACCTAAGGGGGATTGGTGTTTAGAGTGGAGGGAAACAATAGTTTCAGATGCTATAAGAGCTGTTGAAAATGGGGGTTCATATTTCTATGATGGCAAACAAGAGGCTGTGGTTCAAACTTATTCATGGTAACACTAAAAGAATTTTAAAAATAATACTGTCCAATGAGAATTGAATTGAATTGAATATACTTTAACTGTATTTTTTAAGACTGGGGCTATTGTGATTTTGGAAAACTTGTTGAATTCATTGTAATCCAAGACAATCATCTAAAAAAATTATTTTGTAAAAAAAATTATGTTTCCTTACTCCGGCCAGGCCATGTCCTTCAATGGTAGAGCTAAAAGTAGCAGAGAAACAACTGTTCCAAGCTCTATTGAGAACCCATGCAGAAGGCTCTGCTCTACGAACAAGGGCAACAGGTGCTACATAACCTAGTATGACAGCTTTCACACTACACTGCAATTAATTACGCTCATCTTAACTGGGAATTTTGCCATTTCATGTCACATAAGTCATTGAACATGCATGCTGAGGAAGGAAGTCATTGGCATATAGCAGGATTTGAAGCAGGATTTGAAGCTTTCGCATGGATAGCCTGCGCCACAGACGAAAATGGATGCTGGTTAAGTCAGTCTGTGAAATCCTTGTTCTGGGTCTGCCCCCACCTGTGTAACAAGATTTGAGTAAGTGCCACGACTGGCATGCATGTTAAAAGAGCCATTGTCAATTTGCCATCAGGCTGAAAGGAAATTCAATACATACTTTCACTAAAATTATTTGAAGAGTCGGTAGGTGGCTGGCCCAGAACAAGGATCTTAGTGCTGCTTCACAGACATTATTCACCAGTTTGGATTATGTCTCCAAGGCAGGCTATTGCATGCATTGCCGTTGCCTGCACATTGCAGACTAATCTGTTAAATGATTGGTCACCTCTACATTTTTACACTTTCCTTTCCAATAATTGACCAATTGAACAAAACACAATGTGGGAAGTTTAAAAAAGATGGCTTTTTTCTTCACAGCCTGTAGCCATCATAGAAGAAAAAGCCATGATATCATCTTCAGGAAAACTATTCCGGAGACAATAACTATTATCATTTCATTTGCCCCTAACTTCACGAACATGAGACTGTTATATCAAAATTTTAGTTTAAGGGAATGAGTTTCTTTTAAATGAAGTTATAATGAGCATAAAGAGACTCAAAAGCTTATGTTTCAAGAACTAACCCCCTCCTCATCCTCAACTCATCTGAAGAGTATGACAACTGTCAGTGCTTCAAAAGTCAGCTTTCAACTGTCTTCACATTGTCAGTGGTAAATTTACTACATTAAGAACTCAGATTAAAAAACATTAAAAGTTTTTTTTTCACTTAAGCTACCCCCCACCAACACAACATCACAATTTGTTTTTGAAACTAACTCATTTATTCATGAGAAGGTTATAGCTAACAAAAGCCCTGCAGTGTACTGGCCCTCTTGGCTATCTTTTACATGTACGGTGTACAGTGTATAAATTAAAATCCAATGCATGTTAACTGAAAAATAATAGCATACATGTACCTACCACAAATTGACCAACAACAGTTCCAGCAACAGAGTTTTCCATCACATAGTGAGATCCTGTCAGATTAACAGCTGTCGGGGCCTCATTGTCATTTATAATTTCAATGTTAAAATGTTTAAATGCCTGAGATTGTGAATCGTTAACATGTACATTCAACCTGTGCCACGCTTTTGTCTCGTAATCCAGAGCAGCACTGAGTGTCACATTAACTTTGCATTCATACTCATGTCCAGGACCTACACATAGAGTCCTTTCAAGTTGAAATTTACTGAGTGTGTCAGCATCTGATTGGCTGATATCAAAGGACACATCATCACCGTCTTTCTCTGTTACAACAAGCTGTCCAACAACGGTTCCAATAGGTGCCATTTCATGAACAGTGGAGCCTATAAGACGCAGTGAAGTGGGCGCATCATTTATATTCAAAACGTCTATTACGAAGTTTTCGGTCTTAAACTGCACAGGGTTCCCAAAATCTGAGCATTTGATGGTTATCATGTGCATTTTTTGAGCCTCACCAGACATATCCATAGCAACAGTGACTTTATTGCCACTGATAGCAAATTTACCACCATTGTTATCAAGCAACTCCCACTTAAAGTTAGAGTGAGGTGCCGTGTTGGGAGGATCGTCCCCATCAATAGCCAATAATTCACCAACTATCATTCCTACAGTTGCGTTTTCATAAACCACAGAATTGGACAACGTCAACTGTTCTGGAGGGTCGTTAACATCAGAAATTGTAATAGCAAATGTCTTCTGCAACCACATGGGTGGATTACCATTATCCGTAGTTCTTACAGTCACTAACAGCTTGCCATTATCCAACGAGATATTTCCATTCAGTCTGGGATTATCCCATATGTTGACTAATTTATCTCCTTGGGCTATCACGAGAGAGCTTGGCCGCTGCACTGTGTACATAAACGTTTGTCCTTGTTGTGCATCTTGAGAAGACAGAGTCCCTATCGTGGTACCCACAGGCATGTGTTCAATAAGAGTAGAACCATTCAGGGTCAAGCTTAAAGGCGGATCATTTGATCGTCGACAGTAATAATCACTAAGTTGACTGTCTGGTACATCCCAGACATTGTCTGACTGCCAGGTGAGCGTCTTACGGCAAATGATTGATGATGACACTGACAGGAAGTCAACACTGCTGTAAGTCTTTCCAAATTCCACATTTGGCTGAGCTGTAATCTTTGAAAGTGTGTAGTTTGTAGGGCAGATCAAGGAACACTGTGTATCATAGGTTGTTCCTCCTGGACACATAGTCGCCACTTGGGCACAAACTGAAGAAATGTGGTCAGTGTAAGAGTTTGGTGGACAGGGATGAAACTTAGTAGCTGGACTGCCACAATCATGTTTAGCACAGTTAAGAGAATCACCAGTCAGATAATAACCAGTAGGACACTCACACTTGTATGAACCAACAGTGTTTGTACAGATGTGACTGCAAGGCCCAGGGGATGGATTGCACTCATTAATATCATTGCAGTTAGTACCTGTGAAAAAAATATATATATATATATAAATAAAGGAAATAGGAAAAAAACTACACTTTCATATATATAATATCAATATTTACACTTTCATATATAATATCAATATTTGCCAACTAGAAGACTGTCAATAGTACCCTACCTTTTTTGTAAGACCATCAAGATCTAGTGCATTGCGTTACGGGTAGCCATCTTGGTTTCAAATGTACTGACGGGACAAGATGTTTCACGCTCATCTCCAGGCTGGACTCAGAACATTGAAACTAAGAGGGCTGCCCATAATGCAAAGTACTAAGGATCTTGACACACATACCCATAAATTCGCATCTGTGAAAAGTCTAGCCAACTAGAGATACTAACTGAAGTCAAAAAAGACGAAGGATGCATTAACTTTGTCTCTGCTTTAAGGTTCAGATTTCTTTTCAGCCTGCTCGTGATTGACAGTTCTCATCTTCATGGACAGTTTAAATGACCTCATGCACAAAAGGGTTGTATGTTGTACAGTCTGTATGTTTGTCAAGAGTTAGTTAATAAGTTGTGTTTTTTTATCATGGCAAGGACTCAGTGTTAGCTTTTTATCCTTTGTTTCATCTACAGTGATATAGCCTGTACTTCAATCAAAACAAATCCCCTGAGGCTACATTGCAACTACCATCCAACCTCTATAAAGCCACCGCCCTATCTCAGGCCAGAAGGTTCTCTTTACAGTGGTTTAATGACAAATTTGCCTTCAGAGACTCATAACCTGTAATTTAATAGGCACTACGTCCCGAATTAAAAAACAGGCACAGTTTAGTGTACATGTTAAATTTGACAGGGTTGTACTGTCAGTAAGTATAAGTATTTTGGTGAACATTTGCTAATGAGGGCACTTCATCATGGCTATCATAAAGATCAAACATCTCGTTAGTGTTCAATTCTGGACATATCAGTCTGCTAACAGGAGGCTGCTTTATTGAGGTAAGACTGTAACATTTCTGTAACTAATAAGGTTAATCACAGAAATATTTACCCACAAAAAGACACAACTGAGGGTCACTAATACAGAATTTTGTTTTCCACCAGACAAAATTCTTAAAACTGTTGGAATCCTGGTTTACAAAGGGATACAAAATTTCTCTCTGAAATAAAGTTTGTCTACTGCAGTTTGTTTTCTTTGTTTCTGCATAGAGTTCTTTAAACTTTTCTGGACAATAGTTCTTAGTGACCCCTCAGTTAATACTTCATTTTATATTAAAGTATGTAGTATGAAGTGAAACCACATTTTCAAAAATGACTCCAATATTATTATTTTATAGAGATGACTCTGGACAAGGGGCACTTCTGACGTCGAACTGCAAGAGAAATTTTAGCCCTGAGATGTGATGATGATATTCTAAAAAGAAAAAAAGCCTTTCTAGACTCTAAAAACAATCTGTTGAAAAAGTCGAAAAACAACCTATAACAGTTCCTTCTGTATCAATTCCCACAATTTGTTCTCATGACAAAATCAAATTCATTATTTCATTGAATTTCAATAATATGGGCACTAAATAACAAACTTAACTTGCGAGCACAATATCTTAGTAAATAGTGTTCAGTGTACCTGATGCAGTATAACCTGCTAGACAAGAGCAGTGCCCAGTGTGAGGATCACAGTTATGCTGACAGCCACCATTAACTGAACCACAAACTTCAATCTGACTCAGTTGAAACGGGCAGTCACCACCCCAAGTTGCAGCTTGAGTAATGGTACGTGATCTTGTCCTTGTACCAATATGGCACTTCTGTGAGCACTCACTCCAACTTGTCCAGCCTAAAAATAACAATAGATTGATTGCAAAACTTATAAGAACTAGCCAAGAATGTAGAAGTTTTTACAAGGAAAACATTTTATGTTTCTGGCCTTCGAAAAACGTGAAAGTAGATCATTAAACATAGCTACAATATAGTTAGCATTTTCCATGCAATTATAGCCATTATTATTATTGTTACTATTTACTATGATAAATGTTATTTTCTTTTTTTTCCTTTACCTTAACATAATCAATATTGTAATCGGCAATGCCATCTACTCATGTGCATTTGGTTATAGTAATTGATAATGCTACAGATCAATATTTATTATACTTTAAAAGCTCACTTTCTTAAAAGAAGCTTTTTCATGTTAGACACCTTAAACCCTTTCTGCACAAAACTGGTCTCATAAAAAAAAATTATTTCATCCTGACCTCTCTTTTTGTTCTGAGAATTTAGCTATATATTTACAGCAAAAAAAACCATTCAACACCAACAAATCATTTAGTTATAGTTTAATGGTGTCACACATCAATATGCCAATATTTCTACAAGCTTGCTTTCAAAAAGACTAGTACAAACACTCTTCCCTTTCTTCCCAAAACTGGTTTCAAGTTGCATCCCACCTCCACCCCAAAACAGCCAGCTCTCTGCGACAGCTTCTTGTCTCTGCCACCAGCATGCCCTTTGTAAAGAGGTTCCACAAAACTGTTTTTTTGTTTTGTTTTGTTTTGTTTTGTTGTTGTTGTTTTTTATGGCAAATTTGCAATTACTTAACCCTTAGGAATTACAATGTGAAATAATTTTGTAAATTTCTAAGCACACTAAGGCTGGTTAAGATATTTTTCATTCCAACTACCATAGTAACCATTGTTTTTTCACATGTAAATGTTTTAAAAACAATCACCTTCACCTTACAAGATATCTTGACTTTTTCAAAAACCACAAAAGTACAGGAAGAGGAAAGTTAATATCAACACAATATTCTTTTCCTCTGCCGATCAACAATAAGTGTTCCGCCGCTGATCAACTGCATCATCACTGATGATGCCATTGATCAGCGAAAGCTTGACAGTGGATTTCAATTCTTTTTTTGAAAACAGCAGTTTAAGGCCTTATTAGAACAATAGTTTTGTTATAATATTCTGACCCAAACAAACCATCACTTCTGTAACAATTGCATAATGTTGGAAACAATCCTTGGTCTTGTTTGGTATGCATGATTGGTCATATCTGAGTTTTCACAACTTTGTTTTTTAGAATATTTACCTGCTCACCAACCATGAAGCAACCATTTATCATGCTGCTGGAGCGAAATGCTACAATCACGCAAATGTGACAATCATGATTAGCTACTCAAGAGAGCACTACAAAATTTGCTTGCCCTTCAAAAATGTTGCTTTTTTGCTAAAAGGTAAATTTACAAATTTATCAAACAATCATCCACACCAAAACTCCCAATATACAATTTAACTCTAAACTGACTTTGATTCCCTTCTCCTGTCAAACAATGCTACCTCATGACTTGATTTTTTCAATTGAACCAATTTCAGATTGGAAAGATTTCCGTACAGCCTCATACATTTATTGTTATGCATACATTTTTAGACCTCACATTTTATAAATATTAACTATTTGCATGAAATTGTAAGAAATTCCTGCATGTACACGTATAATAAATGTATGGGGGACAGAAATCTTACCAGATATTGGCCTATTCCATTTTAGTGCAACACACTTTTATTCAGACAGGCCAAGACACGTTTTGAGGTCAATCCCATATAAGCTTACACGTAATAAGAAACTGCATGTTAATGGACTTCTCAAAATAAACAAGGAAATGGAATAAAAATAACAAGATGTAAGCTACAGTTTCACCGAACACAAACTGCTCAGATAATTATGCTTAAGTGTCCTCGTAAGCTGTAAAGGAAATTGCACTCCATTAATGAATTTTTAAAAAGACAAGAACAATCTTAAAAAATCTTGAGCTCTAATATAAAGTTATACTATTTTGGTTACTGCATTTTTAATGTACCTTACCTTGAAGTATTCAGAGAGAAAGAATAAACTTTTTCGAAAGCAAAGGAAAGTGACACGTAAATAATCAAAATATTTCAACAGTTTGACTCAATCGATCCAAAGAAAACACGAGAGGTTGACTCATACACTTTCTGGTAGTCTGGAGTAAATAACCAACATTCTTTGAACGACATACACAAAGAAGTGACAAAGGTAACTAAGATTAAGAGCGATGAAGTCGACACAAACAACTCTAGTTTATCGCAATCTATAAAAAACCAAGGACTATTTAGCAAATTCGTACCGCTAACAATGCACTGTTGAGGTGGCGGAGGACTCCATCGCCTTCGACGCCGTCTTCTGAACCAACCATCTACTTCGTCTTTTGCAAAATACATCACCAACAGCGGTATCACCACGACAAATCTTAGCTCCATCGAACAAGATGCAAAAGAATTAACTCAGCATGCAGAAAATGTTCACGACACTCGTTCGATCTGCTTTTTTAACGTAAAGCAAATTAGAAACGCTGAGGTGTTTCGCAAGTAGCAAACTTGATACTTGATCAGGGCAGATCTGTTTTGACCTCTCTAGATCGAACATTCGACGTATATCGGTCTTGCATCGTAAGACTTATATTGAATGAATTGTATCTGACGTCATGACGTAAACAGTGTACGAATTAGTTGAACGAACACCCACACAACGAAATTGTTTCCAAATAACCCAAACGCAAGAAATAGCTATGACTAGGAACAAAGATAGACGGAGAAACAAGCGTTTGCGTTTACCACGGAGACAAGATAGAGGAACCGGCAGAGTTTAGGATTTCCCATGATCCTCTTCGTTTTCGCGCGTTTTCACGCAGGTGGGCGAAATCCAGAAAGTGCGTCAGTAAAAATTCCTTAATTTTAAAGTTGTTGTTGTTGTTGTTTTCTATTTGATCGCAGACATCTTGATTGTGCAGTGGCCTATAGGAACAACAGCTAAAAAACAAAATGGAAAGAAGAAACTCAAAATCTCCATCGTGCCAGACCCGAGACTCGTCATCATTTCGAGGCGGGTGCGGAAATCCATTTCAGCGGTGGAGGTCTTCGAATGATTGGTTGCCTTACTGTTTTTTCAATTTATTATTTACTTATTTATTATTACATTTTAGTATCATTTTATATACTCATGACGGGAAAAGAAATAGAGAGAGGAAAATCTTGAACATATGCCATCGGGATCTCTTGCAACCATTAAAAAGAACAAAAACTTTTAATGTGTAAATAGTTAGAAAATTTACAGACATAAATAGTATTCAGGTAATTACTAACTGAATGGTCGAGAAGGCAGTGACTAGATCGCGATATTTTTTTTAAAAAAATTGTATTACCTTTCTTTTTCAGTCATTTGCAATACATTCTTTAGGCTCTTCAGATTTTAAGCTGAAATTCCGTTTACGATCTCAGAAACTTGCTGTATATCCTAGTGACTTTTATTAGTCGGCAGAAGTTAAGTATAGATTCCGTTTTCCATGTGATTATAAAAACTCAGGAAACATTATCGTCATCCCGAACAAAAAGTTTCGACAATGAGGTCTTATCACGCAATCCCGACTATTTTTATCCCAATGCCAAACAGCGTTCAAAAAAGTGCTTTATAGAGGTTCCAAAACGGGATCAATAAAGTTGTATGCTTAAAATAGACATTTGATGGGATTCAGGGAACGTAGTTAGTTTTTCTTACTGAACATCCCGTTCTCTTCAGCTCTTTAACGTGTCTTTAAGGAACATTTTCGGAATCCAACATCGTTATATCGCCTTCAGTTTGCATGTAGGGTCGTCAGCTCCGGTACGTCACACCACTCACAAACTTTTATCGCATCCGATTGAATTCCAAAAATAGTGGTGCAGTTTTGTTATTTAAGAATATATTTAGGAACTGTTTCCTGTCGTCTGTTACAAAGGATTTTACGGAAGCCGAAAAGGGACAATCCCAAAATATTTTGCAAATCCCAAAAAATATTTCAAATCAAAATATTTTTTCAAAATCACTGTCGAAAAGTTTGACAAATCTAAAAAACTATTGCAAATCCCAAGGAAATTAGTGGATCCACAAATAACTTTCTCTTTGCAAATCCATAAAAATTATTTCAAATCGCAAATTTTGTACAAATCATTATTGCCGAGAGTTTGGCAAATCTAAAACAACATTGCAAATCCTAAGAGACTTATTGGATCGGTAAATAAGTTTTGATAAAACTCTAAAATAGTTTATAATCCAAGAATCTTCGTGAAATCGAAAAAATTATTTTGGATTTTGTCACGTGCCATAGACATGCCACGTTGCGTTTGGCCCTGGTGAGACGTTGGCTTCCGTAAAGAATGGAAAGGAAACTTGAAAAAGTTGAGCTAAGTTTTTCAAGTTTTTGTGCTATGCCTGCAAAAATCACCGAAAGAACTTATCATGGTTAGTGCTCTGTCCATGGTGAAAATTTGTTTGGTATCTTCTTTATAACTCTACCATACGGTACAACTCTTACAGCAACTCTTCTAAGACACAAAGAAATAACTTCAGCACAGAACTGACCTAAAGACACCATAGCCCCTTTATATAATTCTTAGCTCACGGTCTCTATTACGAGTATAGTTCTTTTGGCTTCAAACATACCACATATATCCTTCTTATTTACTCTCTAGCCTTTACTTATCATTATCATAATTATTATTCACGTCTGATAAAACGCAAACAGACATTACCGAAATCACTGAAAAATTTCCTGTTACATTCTCGCGGATCCGGCACGCAGCGTTAGATGAATACTTATAAAACTTGTCGATAACAACAAGTTGAAATCTGGTTATAATATAATATTTAATACAGTATATATCAGCCGGGCTAAAAGCGAAGCTCTCGTTAATATACCTATAATTTACTCAAACAAAAAAATTAAATCGTGTAATGCTAAACAGTGACGGCTACGAGAACGGGAGCACACTTCTTGTACATTTCTTTGACGTTTTTTTTTTTCACGATTACAACGTGAAACGTCCTAGTTACTCATCTTATGTAGGAAATGTTGTATGTGCTGACCAAAAGTTTTTTTTTGCTTGTGTTCCTGTTCGCATTTTTTTTAATCACTGCTGCTCATTTTCAACTTGCTGACCGCTAGCACTTCTCATTTTCTCACCGCCAATTTTCGAGTTTTTCTTTCAACGAAATTCGTCTCCTTTGTTTTCCACCTAACGCTTTAGCTCTTTCTCTGTTTCTGTTAACCACGTCAGTAAAGATTTAAAATTCAGTCGGGTTGACTTTGTTTTTTTTCTCTCTCTCTCTCTCTCTCGCTCTAAAAAGTCCGGGTGGCCATGCGATTTTCCGCCAAAAAACCCCGTGTTGCATTGGGTTGCTATACCTGTTGATTGAGTTATTTTACATTGGTAGACCTGTGGTACGGACGGGCGCGCATACGATAATATGATAACCAAAATTTCTTAGATGCACGGATCAGGCGGTGTGCGTCACGACCCACAAAGGTTCATGGGTAAAACTGTTACTGTGCCTCATTTCAATCGTGACACGGTCGAGTTCGCGTCTCGTAAGAGAAATGAATCAAACCCAGGGATCAAAACACTGCTGCCTTTTCCGAAAAACATTACTGAAGAGAGCGATTTCGAGAATTTTCAAGATCTCATAGTGGCCTTAGATGCTTGCTATTGGCTTCACAAGACAATTTCAAGAAGTTTATCGCGATTCGGAGACGATCGTGCGATCTAGCCGACTTTGAGCGGCGACTAATTTCCTGCTTCTCATAAGATTTTATGTACTGTTTGGTTTATATGTATGTATTTATCTCATGGTGAAAGAGATCTGTAGTTCATACCTGGATTTGCTTAACTAAAAAATAATTCGTCCATTAGAAGTGTTTATATATTTGATGGACTTTGTTACCGGCAAAGCAGCTAGGGGGAGCGCGTGCAAACAGCAAGGTGAGAAATCGTCTCTCATAACAATTTTATTTTCATCGACAAGTTTATACTATTTTGAAAACAGTGCCCGTTTGAAATCCTTATGCGCAAATAAATCTTCTATGAGGCAAGGGGAAAACAGACCGAAAGAGCCGAACAGCTGCGGCACAATCGGGATTTCACCGAAGCTACAGTCGCAGAAATAAACAGTGAAATAAACCACGATCTTGTCTGTGCGGTCATTGAAGTGAGCGCAGTATATAGATTTTGTTATAAAGTAAAACCTAACCTCACAGTTTTAAAATCCTTTATGATGTTGTCTGGATCTTCGATAATGGTTTTGTGTTTTGGTAGAGATTTATAACAATTTATTCCCTTACATAAGTTTGCACAAAGATTTGCATACACATAGCACACACCGCATGCAAATTACTTTAAGTCACGCTTTCAGTTTCCGCACTGGGTTATGAAAAATGTTTTTTTTCCAAAGGTTATTACAATATTCAAACTTATTTACCTTTTGTGGTTTAAAATAGCACAAACTCTTCCTAGATTTGGCGTTACTCGCTTCACGTCGGCTTTCGCTTCGTCATGTTTTCTCAGCCAGTTTCCCGGGAGTTGTGCCACTTGGCTAAGACGATGTCTTAATTCCAAGACACTTTCAACGGCTCATAACGGGAAAACTAACAGGGGTAGACCCGGGTAGACCCCGAAATTTGCAAAGAAGAAAGGTTGAAGTAACAAGATGGCCAAAATAATTCGATAAAACCGCTAACAGTAACCAGCAATAAATCCAAGAAGAACGGCAAAAACAACACTCAAATCATCATGGCGGCCTGCACATAACTGAGCAATTCAAACTTGTCACAAACGCTCAAGAAAGCAAAATATTTAAAAGTAACGCAACTGCTATCAAGATAAAGTGTTCCAACAACTTTCCACGGCGGTATAGCGTCGAAATTACTAACACAAGCTTGGAATAAAGCGAAAATTTCATCACATATACCTCTGAAAACGGCTCTTTCCGAGCGCGAAAATCACTCTACGAATGACGCATTCTGATTGGTCGAATCTCGTGACGCACACCGCCTGTGCACGGATAATCAAATTTTCTTACCCATGGTGCTCAGCTGCGAGCTCCGCTACAAAATATGGGTAGAGTCATCAAACCCCGCGAAATAATACTGATACTAAAAAGGGCCATAGAAAGTGTCCGTATTAAGCGGTTGGAATTGGTACAATTTAGATCAGAACTGTCTAGTACTGATAACCCATGTGTAGAGTATACTGAAGGTCAGGGTAAAAATAAATCTGTCCATCTGTCGATAGATGTATTCATGAATGTCACCGTCATGCTAGCGTCTAATGATTCTCCTGGTACTTGTATGATCATTTTATACTTTATCGTGGCATACAGATTGTAAGACTGGCTCTCATTTTTTTTTCTCACGTACGTAATAAAGTGACCGCAATGCGAATGCGCCGCC